TAGTGTTATAGTGTCTGAGATGTGCCTCTTTAGCCATTTGTATCAAATGGTTGCACATCTCGCGACCGGTCTTACGGCACATGTCATAGAAATATGCCTTTCGTTGCAGTAAAACATACGGCGCGTCTAACTCTTTGATCTCACCCGCGTCCAACACCTGACCCATTATGAACCAGGTCGTATAGTATGAAATAAATAAATAGTTTAATTAAATTTTTAATTATAAATTAATAATCATGAATAACGTACCAAAACGCGGTCGCAATCGATAATCGTGTTGAGCCGGTGTGCGATCGTAAGTACCGTACAGTTTGCGAACTTATGTCTTATGGTCTGTTGTATGAGTTCATCGGTATGTAAGTCCACGTTAGCCGTAGCCTCATCGAGCACCAGTATCTTATTGTCCCTTAAAATAGCCCTGGCCAAACATACCAATTGCCTCTGGCCTACACTCAAATTGCCTCCCCCCTCTCTGAGTTCACCATCCAATTGGCCGGGTAGTTCATTCACGGTATGCCTTAACTGTGTCTCATCCAACGCCTCCCAAATCTGACTGTCGGTGAACTCAGCAAACGGGTCGAGATTACGACGTACCGTTCCCGTGAAAACTACCGGTTCCTGCGGTATAATCGAAATACGTCGACGTAATTCGTTAAGACCTATACTTTTCGTGTCGACCCCATCCACCTCTACCACACCTGTGGGTTCAGTCATACGAAACAGGGCTGATATGAGGGATGATTTACCCGCGCCGGTACGGCCCACTATACCCACTTTTTCACCGGGCTTAATTGTGAATGACATGTTTTTTAGCATCGGTGTATTTGAGGTCTGGTAGAATAGGTTGACATTTTTAAACACTATTTGCCCATTAGGTGGCCAATCAAGTGGTGGTGGTTTAAGGTAGGGGTCGTTTGGTGGTGACACTAGTGGCGCCTCCTGTGATAGTTTTGAGTACTCAACGATACGTTCGACGGAAGTCATTTGGGACTCCAGTTCCGTAGTCTGTCGGACACCCCATTGTGTCATATGTACGAGCGCCAGAACTATTAACATTCCGAACATGTCAAACTTAAATTGAACTAGCTACAATATTATTTTGTTATTGAAACGTACCGGATGAGAATGCAAGTCCAGCACCACCAGCCGATACATTATCAGGGAATGACATTAACACCACCGAAATGGTCACCAAATATAGGACACACAGCCAGTCGACTACCATTCCCAGTGATCGCGATGCGCATATAAATAGGAACCACGTGGCACTGTGGTCATCAAGGTACACGTACAATTGTTTTTCAAACATTTGTTGAGCACCGTATGCACGTATACTCGACAAACCATGTAGGGTGGTGCTCACGTGCGAGTATATAGGGCTCCGGGCTATTTATTTAATAGGAATCTATTAATCTATCTTGGTAATTTTATTTCAGTATAATACTATTTGTTACTTAAACATTCATAGCGTTTAACGTCCCTTGCTGTTTTGATATATATTGCGCGTACGAATATGCAAATTATTATCAAGATAATCGCTGGTATAATTAAGTATACGTTTAGTATAGCTAATACAATAAGCAAGCCAATTGTCATGGTCATTGACTAGTTTTAAAATATTTAGCATATTAATTAATTAAAAATATTAAATGAAATCTATATTACAATGTTCACGTCGAATCCGGTTATCGGGATCATTTCATCTACTATACCAGTGTCCTTTGAAAATCGATTTAATATTCGACCTAGACCCAATAATAACTTATTAGAAAATTTGATATAACTACAATAAATCAATGATATTGCAGCATAGTTGGTAATATATGTGTGGTTATGGGTTCTACTCCAAAAGGCCTAAAACCGAAAAGGCCTAAACTCAAATAACTAACTGACCAGTGGACATATTTTTAATTAGATTAGTGGAATAAACGTGTCTTGACCCAACCTAACGTAAACTAACCTAAATTAAGCCAAATGACCATTCGTCAGTTAGTTATTCAAGTTTAGGACTTTTGGGATTTAGGCCTTTTGGGTGAGTCCCGTGGTTATGTATGGTGCGATAATGTATTGTTTGTGAAGTTATATAAAAATTATTTTGATATAGTACAAACATGTCCAGAATTTTAAAAATTCACAAAATAGTGATTTATGACATTACTAAACTTATTAATTATTTACAACACTATTATTATATGTTTTAAAATGATTATATTTAAATTAGTATTAAACTTAATTGGTTTTTGAATTAACGCTACATTAGTTTATAATATATCATATAAACTTTAAAATAATAGTGTTGTATATACTTTGCTTAAATGCATACATCACTAGTTGCTTTCTAGAATCCTATTATGACCTCTATGATATAAAATAATATTTTATATTGATCAAACGGGTTTAGATATTATTGCATATTATTAAGATTAAACATACCAATTGGATAATTATCAAACACGGTCATAGGTGCCCTTAATAACCAATTAAATATATTGTTGTGTAGGTTAATGGACGCCCGCATACACATCGCAAAGAACGTGGTCGACCGCATGAGTGCCGTCACAAATAACGCACCAACAAATGCCGCGTATATAATGATACCCCGATTCTGGTCGTTTATATCCTGGTCATTCCTCTCATTCCGGTCCGTCCTATGTTAATATATATAAGGGAAAGCTAATTAAATAATACATAGTGGTTAATACGCTTACCAGTTGGCCAGCCATATATCTGAACCGTGGAATATAACCTGAGATAATACTGTGGACAAAATCGCCAAGGTAAATAATATTGGACCGGCACCTGACTTAATATACTCCCAATAAACATGACTCTTAATCGAACCGACATCTCGGTGTTCGGCTATTAATTTAGGATTGCCAGAATAATTACGGTTATTATTATTGATGAGTAGCTTGGTCTTATTAAATATATAAATATATAATTAAAAGTAAATTGACATATTTTATATAACTGATAACATACGGTAGCTTTTTCTATCATACTGGACATGATTAACGTGTCGTTTAAAGGTCCGTTTCCATTTTCACGAATACATGGGTCAGTTTTGAAATTAATATTTGTTTCTAAATTGTTACGGTTATTCCGGTTGTGCACATTTTCATTATGTTCCCATTGGCTAAGTATTTGCATAATATCAAGACCCTGGTTCTGAAGTTGGTTATACGTCCCCATACCTATACATTGACCCTCGTTCAGCACCAGTATTTGCGTCGCTTTACGTACAAATTGAATTTGATGGGTGACTAATATTCGAATTTTGTCAGCTAGGTACTCGCATATGCATCTATAAATTAGCATTAAAAATTAATTAATTAATACTACCTTGCTATTAAGTACCCACTTATCAAATATATGCTCGGCTACGACGCTGTCAACAGCGCTTAACGGGTCGTCCATTAGTATGATATCTGTGTTCCTGTAAAGAGCTCTACACACGTGTTAAACGCATGCTTTCATTTAATCAAGATATTTATACTAATTATATTGAATTACAAATCATACCTAGCCAAAGTTACCCTGGCCTTTTGACCCCCTGATAATTGCACCCCTTTCTCGCCTACCAATGTTTTATCGCCGAATGGTAGTACTTGTAGATCCCTTTCCAATGCGCACACCTCTATTATTCTTGAATATCGTTTCTCGTCGTAATTCATGCCAAATAGTATATTGTTTCTGACGTTATTATTGAATATCCAGGCCTCTTGAGAGGCATAGCCAACGGTGCCAGTGACATGTATGCCCCCGTTAAGCACCGGTAGCTCTCGAAGTAAAGTCATTAGAAATGAACTCTAAAATGTATAATTTTAAAATTTATTAATCATTCACAAATTTTTAAAGAGTTATTTTCCTACCTTTCCGGAACCTACCGTTCCTATTACTGCCAGGAGATCGCCAGGTTTTAAGTGGGCAGAGATATTATCGAGAGTATAGTATGGGATGTCCTATAGTAAGCACATATTTATTTGAAATTGCAATATTGTAACGTGTATGCCGCCTATACCTGACTCCATTTTGCCATAATATGATTAACCGATACCTCATAACGCGGATTAGAGAGTGGTAAGTTTAAATTATTTTTATCAAGATTTATTTCATTTAATTCCAAAAATTCCTGATTCCAGAAAATAAATTAATAAAATTTTATAAAATAAATCAAAATTACTATATATATAATATTTACCTGTATCCTTTTGCACGATACGTACAATTCCGAGCTGGTCTCAAAAACCTTAGGCACATTATAAGTGATACAGGTGCGTAAAGTGTTAAATAATGTCATGGTAACAAAAACAGCTCTGGCTGACAAAATGTTCCCGGTCATTACGTATATGGTGAAACATATGAATAGTATTAAACGTGTTTCCACAATCCAAATTGACAAATTTAAACCTTTCAGATATAACGTCGTTTTTATAAACGATATTTCTTTCCTAAAATTATGATGACGTAATTTATTAAACTTTTAAAAGTTATGTACTATATATGATTACTTTCTAGCTATGTCGACTAAATTAGCAAACGATTGTTCCCAGGCATACATTTTGATAACCCGAATACCGGAAATAATTTCATTTATATATTTCAGCCGGGTATCAGTTAATATTGCCGTTTTTATCCTATTTGTCATAAATTAAATTTAATTTAAATATTTAGAAAGTTAATTTTTTTTATAAAATGTACCTGCTCCATGTAAACACTCTACACATCAATACTTGAATGAACGTAACCAAAACAAACAAGGCTAAACCGACAAAATATGCCCAACCAATTTCTATCCAGATTATATAAGATGCCAATATAGTAACAACTGGTGTCGTCACAAAATGCGTACAAAATAACGTAAACTAATATGAATTGTAAAATAAAACTACAATTTTCAAAACCATAATGTTATGTAATGTACCTCATCTATACGGGTAACGTCGTTGGACATGAGATTTACAATTTGACCCGCCGTTGTTTGACACAGGGAGGCCTGGCTTAATTTTAAAATCTAAAAATATGTGCAGGTATGAATTATGAATTTGTCAATTTAGTTTTAAATTTACCTTTTTGTATAACAAGGCACAGGTAGCACTTCGGGCGCGCATACCTATTTGCATGACCCGTAGTAGGTGGGGGTGTATTGTTAATACAAATAGGGCTGAGCAAAGGCACACAATAGCTACCGCCCAACAGGCCTGGCTATAGGTCACCCCATTTTCGGCACCAAAATAATCTATTATATAACTTAACGCTACAGGCTGTACCATAAGTAGTACACATTCCTACAATATCAATATAATAATCCATTTAAATTCATATAATATTATAATATAAGATTTACACTTGCTTCAAAAACGGTTGCTAAAATTGGTAAAATAAAATCTTTAGAGTATGTCCAAAATAGTGCACGCCAAAATTTTGGCGACTTTTTAGATAGTTCCATGCTCCAATTTCTAATTAAAGTGTTTTAAAATTAATGAAAATATTAACCTATTACATTTATATAAATTACTAAAATCTACATGTTTTGTAGCCCGAGTCTTACAATATGTTTTGGTTTAAAATTGAAAAATGATAAACTTACTTTTCAAGTTCTTTAACACCTCGTTCAGATTCATCGTACTGAGAGCACCGGTACATATCATCCATGTCCAGCCCATTTTTACGCCAACCGGTCCAAAATATCGGGTACACCCAGCTATTAACAAAACAATATTTATGTTAATTATTGTGGTTAACTAGTAAACTGATAACCAAATATACACGTTTAATAATGTAGCAGATTATATTATCAAATATATTAATTTGTTGAATACAATTTACCAACCTTAATAGTATTTTTTCAAAACAGTTCATGCTATCCCATGGTGATTTGCCAGTAATTTTAGTACTTTCAAACATAATTAATTAATAAATTTGTAAAAATATTTTACTATTTAAACATCCCTAATAATTTATCTCAAATAATATATGACTTTAACGATGAAAATACCACATTTGAATTGTGATATTTAATTAAATATTTCTAAAAACGGAATTATTTAGAAATTATGACGTTAATAATAATAAACCTGGTTATTATAAACCAAACACATAATAATAAATCTGGTTTCGTAGAATAAATATCAATCATGGAGTAAATTTAGTAATATTCAATTTGCTTCATAATACTTAAATATTATTTATACTGATTTCATCAATTTAAACATTTTAAACTATATAAATCTGTTTTTTAAAAAATTTTAAAATAAATAACTCGGTAAATGAAGATTATATTAAGAAAATAGTTAACAATATTTATTTTAACACGATCAAAAGTTATAATTAGACATAATCTTTCAAATGAAACTACTCGCCCTCCCCTCCACATCCATAGTGTTATAGCGTCTGAGATGTGCCTCTTTAGCCAATTGAATCAAATGGTTGCACATCTCGCGACCGGTCTTACGGCACATGTCATAGAAATATGCCTTTCGCTGCAGTAAAACATACGGCGCGTCAAACTCTTTGATCTCACCCGCGTCCAGCACCTGACCCATTATGAACCAGGTCGTATAGTATGAAATAAATAAATAGTTTTATTAAATTTTTCAATCTAAAATAATAATCATGATTAACGTACTAAAACTCTGTCGCAATCAATAATCGTGTTGAGCCGGTGTGCGATCGTAAGTACCGTACAGTTTGCGAACTTATGTCTTATGGTCTGTTGTATGAGTGCATCGGTATGTGAGTCCACATTAGCCGTAGCCTCATCGAGCACCAGTATCTTATTATCTCTTAAAATCGCCCTGGCCAAACATATCAATTGTCTCTGTCCTACACTCAAATTACCCCCACCTTCACTTAGCTCACCGTCCAACTGGCCGGGTAGTTCATTGACTACCTGTAGTAATTGAGTATTTTCCAAAGCCTTCCAAATATGACTATCACTATACTCGCCAAATGGATCTAGGTTACGACGTACCGTTCCCGTGAAAACTACCGATTCTTGCGGTATAATCGAAATACGTTGACGTAATTCGTTAAGACCTATACTTTTCGTATCGATCCCATCCACCTCTACCACACCTATCGGCTCAGTCATTCGAAACAGGGCTGATATGAGTGACGATTTTCCGGCACCTGTACGTCCCACTATACCCACTTTTTCACCGGAGTTAATTGTGCATGATATGTTTTTAAGTACTGGATAATCCGACATTTCATAATATAGAGACACGTTTTTAAAGGATATCTGTCCCATCGATGGCCAGTTGGATGGGGGTGCCTGAAGGTAGGGGTGGTTTGGCGGTGAGACTAGTGGCGCCTCCTGTGGTAGTCTCGAGTACTCAACGATACGCTCGACGGAAGTCATTTGGGACTCCAGTTCCGTAGACTGTCGGACACCCCATTGGGTTGTATTTATTAACAACAGTACTATCACGATAAAAATAAATATATTTTTTGGTATTTTAAATTGATATTCATATTCAGTATATCATTAGACAGAAAACAGTTTGAATGTGATATTCATAGGTTTAAAGCGACAAAAAGATTGAACTGAATATAGATATCAAGCTTTAAACCTATATACTTTACATTCAAACTGTTTTCTGTCTACTGATATAATGACAAATCATCACGTTCTGGGAAATCCTATAGATTTGGAAATCCTATTTCTAATTAGACAATATGCTACTAACGAATGTTTTATTTACCTTGCTAAAACACCTCAAATATACTATTTATTTACTAACTTGTTTATTTACTATCTATTTATTTACTAAAAATATGTATTATTTTTAAAATTTAATACCGGTATAAGCAAGATAAAATAAATATAAATGAATTAACATACTTGATGAAAAAATTAAACCAACATCACCACCGGTAAAATTATCAGGGAATGTCATTAATATAACTGATATCACCACGAGATACCCAACAAACAGCCAGTCAATTACGAGTCCTAATGCGCGCGAGGCGCAAATTAGTAAGAACCAGGTGGCACTGTGGTCATCCAGGTAAATATAAAATTGTTTTTCCAAATCACGTTGAGCATTGTAAGCTCGTACACTTAGCAAGCCATTCATGGTAGTGCTGACGTGCGTGTATATCGGACTCCGGGCTAATGTAATAATAATACAAATTAATATTTAATTGTGTATTTTAATTTTTAAACATTCAACTTATGCATTCGTAACGTTTAATGTCCCTGGCTGTATTAATGTAGACTGCGCGTACGAATACGCTTAATGTAATCAAGGCAATTGCCGGTATGATTAAGTAAGCGTTCACAATCGAAACCACCACGAGCATGCCGATTGTTAATGTAATAACCTAAGTCAAATATTAAATTAGCTAGGCTCAAAGTTTGGTATGCATTACATTGAATCATACAATATTCACATCGAATCCAGTACAAGGTATTGTTTCATCGATAATACCAGTGTCCTTTGAGAATCGATTCAGTATTTGACCTAGATATAATTTATTTATCGTTATACCAGTAATATCAATCAAAATAAATTTCAAGTTTATATTGAATATGACTAAAGATTTTAAAATAAATATTTGTCTTGGTCATTCCGCTTAAAAGCACTGATATAGCATACCAATGGGGTAACTATCAAACACGGTCATAGGTGCCCTTAATAGCCAATTAAATATATTGTTGTGCAGGTTAATGGACGCCCGCATACTCATCGCGAACCACGCGGTCGACCGCATTAGTGTTGTCACAAATAACCCTCCAATAAGTGCCGCGTATATTATTATATCCCGTTTCTGGTAACTATCCCCGGCATTATAACCCACATTCTGATTCTGGTCTGTCCTATATGTGTAATATAATTATATACAATAATTAATGATATAAATAAAACATTTAGTTTTATAAAATATACATTAAATACGTAATACCATACACAACTTATGAATACTCAAATATATTGTTCATCACCATTATAATTATTTTCATTTATATGTTGATAAGTTACTACTAAAGGGTTAAAGCTTATTAATAAAGATTTATACATTATATTTGAATAGTTTTAAGTTGCTTATGCTAGAAAGTGTTTATTAAAAATTTTCTAGATGTGTTATTTATATTATTCATGGTGATATAATATAATTTTATCCATTGAAACATACCAGTGCGCCAGCCATAAGTCCGAACCATTGAACATAGCTTGCGATAAAATCGTTGACAAAATGGTCATGGTTATAAGTAGTGGTCCGGCACCGGCTTTAATATACTCCCAATACACGTGACCTTTTATCGAGCCACTTTCCCTATGTTCGTCCATTATTTTAGGGTGACCAGGCTTATCATTATTATTATTATTATATCTGGTCAATTTTGTCTATTATAATTTTAAGTTATGAAAATAAAAAATAATTACTCTATAATATAAAGCTTACATACAGTTACAGTGTTTAGCAGCTCGGTTAGCGTTGCCGACTCATTACTGGACACATCCCGGTGCTCAATCATGTTTTGTTCCCGTTTAGCGTCGTTATACACTACATGAAGTTCCCGTTCCTGATCAGCTAGTGTTTGATTAAAATCCAAACCTTGCGCCTGGAGCTCGTCATAAGTACCCAACCCTATGCACACGCCCTCATTGAGCACCAGTATCTGTGTGGCTTTGCGTACGAATTGAATTTGATGGGTAACTAATATGCGAATTTTATTAGCTAGGAACTTTTCGATGCATCTATTTAAAAGATGATTATTTAGTTTTAAATAAAATAGTGCATTTAACATTTAACAAAGCTAACTTATCAAATATATGCTGAGCTACAGGGGCGTCCACAGCGCTTAAGGGATCGTCCATTAGTATTATATCAGAGTCCTTATATAGAGCTCTATGAAAATATATTTATTTAAATATTGGTATAATTTTATATCAACACAAACCTTGCCAAATTGACCCTGGCCTTTTGACCCCCTGATAATTGTACGCCTTTCTCTCCAACCAGTGTTTTATCACCGAATGGTAGTATCTGTAGATCCCTTTCCAATGCGCACACCTCTATCACACGCTTATATCGATCTTCATTATATTCGCGACCAAACAATATGTTATTTCGGACACTATTATTGAATATCCAGGACTCTTGAGATGAATAGCTAACTGTGCCCTTGATCTGTATGTCACCATCAAGCACAGGTAGCTCGCCGAGTAATGACATTAAAAATGAGCTCTACAAATTAAAATAAAATATTTTTAAAAAAATAATCTTAATTTTAAGTGTTTCACTACAATATTTATAATTGACGTAAATTAAAAATAATACTTTTCCTGAACCCACAGATCCTATTACAGCCAAGAGGTCCCCAGGCTTTAAGTGTACCGTAATATTGTCCAGGGTCAGATTAGGAATGTCCTTATAAGTTAAAATTTATTTAATATTTCATATAATGCTCGCTTATTACATACATGAATCCATTTGGCGTTAATATTATTAACCGATACCGAAATACATGGTATATCTTGGCTATAATGGCAATAATTGTCACTCGATTGGTCACCGTGTATTTCATCTAGTTTCAAAAATGTCTAGAAAATAATTTAATTAGATTTAAATGTGTTTTGGTAAATTGAATCAGTAATATTCACCTGGATCCTTTTGCACGTTATCAGTGCCTCAGCGCCACGTCCAAAACACTTTGGCAAGTGGTACGTTAAACTAGTGCGCAAGGTGTTCAAAAATGTCACTGTAATAAAAACGGCCCTAGCTGACAAAATGTGCCCGGTCATTACGTACGCAATTAGACACGCGAACAGTATAATACGGTTTGCAACAAAGTAGATTGATAAATTTATTGCATTTAAGAACATGGTCATTCGTATGGAAGATATTTCATTTCTATTAAATATTTTGACGTAATTTATTAAATAAATCACAAAATTTAGCTAGTTACTTTCTAGATTGGGCGACTAAATCAGCAAATGATTGCTCCCAGGCATACATCTTGATTACCCTCATACCGGATATAATTTCATTAATATATCTCAGCCGGATATCCGTCAACCCAGCGGTCCTTGACCTTTATGTTCATAAATAATGTTTATTTTGAATTATTATTATTATTATTAAATTTGAAAATTTTAGTTTTACCTCATTTTAGAATACAATTTCCCTATTGACATTTGAATGAATATGAGCGAGATCATCATGGCCAAGGCCACAAAACTTACCCAACCCAATTCTAGCCAGATTATATACGAGGCAATTAACGTTTGCACTGGCGTTACGAATAAGTTTGGTAAATAAGTCGTCAACTAAAATATTGAAATAAAACTCACATATACAGTTTATAATTTTAAATTAAAAAATTACCAACCTCATCGAAACGATTAACATCGTTCGACATAAGATTTACCATATGGCCTACCGGTGTTTGGCACAGGGAGATGCGGCTTAGTTTTAGCGACTTATTAGCGTTATTAAAATTATTAGTTTCAAAGTGTTATATTTTTAGAAACTTACTTTTTTGTATAATAGGGCACAGGTGGCGGTACGGGCGCGCATAGCCATCTGCATGAGGCCCACCATGTGGGCGTGAACTAATGGTATTAAAAGTATCGAGCACAAACACACACCGGCAGTAGACCAACAGGCCTGGCTATAAGTTGCGCCGTTTTCGCGGGTAAAGTAGTCTATGGTATAACCTAATAGTACGGGTTGCGCGACACGTAGTACGCAATCCTAACAATATATAATAATTATTGTGATTTAATATGGAAATTAACATAGCTATTTTACGGTGATAATTTATATAATTTATGCTTGCTTGAACAAATGCCGAAATAATCTGGATGATATAATCATTTCCATATGTCCAGCATAATGTGCGCCAAAATTTTGGTGACTTTTTCGATTGCTCCCTGGTCCAATTTCTGACATGAATATAATAAATGTTTAATGCCAAAATTTATATAGCATTTGAAAAATATATTTTATGCGATTATATTATTGTCATAAATGCTACCTTATGGTTTGGTAATACTTTTAAATTATGAATGCCATTATTATTAATAATAATAATATATATATTTGTTTACATTTCCAGTTTTCTAACGGCGCCTTCCGATTCATCATGTCGTGAGCACCGGTACATGTCATCCATATTCAGCCGATTATTTTTCCACACAGTCCAGAATATTGGAAACACCCAGCTAGATATAAAAACATTAAAATATTTATCCAGCAAAGTTATGGTATAATTGATAATCACATGACAATGTTATATAGCATAGTCAAATATGGTGATTAAATAATAATTTTTCTATGAATTAAACTATCTACTAACGTAATTATAAGCTTCTCAAGAAAGTTCATTGTGTCCCATGGTGATTTAGCAGTAACCTTAGCAGGTTCATCCATTATCACAATTTTAAATATTAATAAAGTTTATAAAACTAAAATTAGCCGACGAATTGACTATTTAATAAAAATATTTAATAATATAAACCATAATATAGTATATATTGTCAATTACATAAATCTATAGAAATTAATAAAAATATATAATTATATAGAAATAATTTTCAAAAACAATTCACTTGAAAATGTTAAATGAACAGGCAACTAAATAAATCTGTATTAGAGGCATGTGTTTAATATATGAATTAAAACTTCAAAGAGAGCCATATGTCTGTTACTTAGTAATGCATTAGTTGTCATTCAGTAATCCATTATTTATTATACAAATCAATTAGTATATTTTATTTAATATTGATATAATAATTTATAATTCGTGTACTGATTAAAAATATTTACACATTCAATGTAACATTTTACGTACTGTACAATAGTATGTTGAAGTAAATCTTGAATTTTATGTGATACATAAAATCTATGACAATGTAATATTATAAAAATTCATGAAATAATATATTTGCATAACGCTACTCGTCCTCCCCGTCCATTTCCATAGTATTATAGCGTCTGAGATGTGCCTCTTTAGCCATTTGTATCAAATGGTTGCACATCTCGCGACCGGTCTTACGGCACATGTCATAGAAATATGCCTTTCGTTGCAACAAAGCGAACGGTGCGTCAAACTCCATGATCTCACCCGCGTCCAGCACCTGATTAATAATTAAAAAAGTTATATCATTAATAAAAAATTTAAATATTATTCATAAATAACGTACCAAAACGCGGTCGCAATCGATAATCGTGTTGAGTCGGTGTGCGATCGTAAGTACCGTACAGTTTGCAAACTTATGTCTTATGGTCTGTTGTATGAGTGCATCGGTGTGTAAGTCCACGTTAGCCGTAGCCTCATCGAGCACCAGTATCTTATTATCTCTTAAAATCGCCCTGGCCAAACACACTAATTGCCTCTGGCCTACACTCAAATTACCCCCACCTTCACTAAGCTCCCCATCCAATTGGCCTGGTAGCTCATTCACCGTATGCCTTAATTGTGTCTCATCCAAGGCCTCCCAAATCTGACTGTCCGTAAACTCAGCAAACGGGTCGAGATTACGACGTACCGTTCCCGTGAAAACTACCGGTTCCTGCGGTATAATTGATATACGTCGACGTAATTCATGTAAACCAATAGTTTTTGTGTCGACCCCATCCACCTCAACCACACCTGTAGGTTCCGACATACGAAACAAGGCTGATATGATCGACGACTTTCCGGCACCTGTACGTCCGACAATACCGACTTTTTCACCAGGCTTAATTGTGCAAAGTAAATTTTTAAGCACCGGCTTATCTGAGCCTTCGTAACAGAGTGACATGTTTTTGAAAGTTATCTGTCCATTAGATGGCCAATCAGGTGGTGGCGTTTGAAGGTAGGGGTCATTTACGGGTGAGACTAGTGGCGCCTCCTGTGGTAATCTCGAGTACTCAATGATACGCTCGACAGAAGTCATTTGAGACTCAAATTCCGTTGACTGCCGGACACCCCATTGGGTCGTATTTATTAACATAAGCACTATTTGTATGATCGGGAAATAAGGTACAAAAATTAACTATAAATTAAAATTATAATTCCCTCAGCCCCATTACCTGATGATAGTGCAAGGCCCACCCCGCCCCCGGATACTGTATCGGGGAATGCCATTAATACCGTCGAAATGGCCACGATATATACGATGCACAGGTAGTCAGTCACGAGTCCCAAGGCCCTCGACGAGCACACAAATAGGAACCAGGTGGCGCTGTGGTCATCCTGGTATACGTAAAATTGTTTTTCAAAAGCCTTTTGAGCACCATAAGCTCGCACACTAGCCAGACCATTTAGGGTGGTGCTAACATGAGAGTATACAGGACTACGTGCTATTGGTAATGAGCAATTTATTTTAATTTAATATTTGTACTAGGGTATTGTGCAAGCTTACTTAGCCCCTCGTATCGTTTAATATCCCTGGCCGTTTTAATATACACGGTCCGTATGAGTATAGTGAATATAATTAAAAATATTGCCGGAATTATTAGGTATGGGTTCACCATGGACACCACAATAAATGTTCCCAGTAGCAAGGTCATACTCTATATCAAAACAGAATTTTAAAATAATTATTAGCAAACAAATAATTAAATGCACAAATATTACCATGTTTAAATCAAACCCAGTAGTGGGCAACATTTCATCGATTATACCAGTGTCCTTTGAAAATCGATTCAGTATTCGACCTTTAAAATTTAAAAACTGATTAATTTATGCTTAGATAATCAAGCTAAAAATTTTTAAATAATCAAACACCGTTTTAATAAAAAACATACCAACAGGGTTATTGTCAAACACGGCTATAGGCGCCCGTAATAATCGCATGAATATACTGTTGTGTAGGTTAATGGACGCCCGCATACACATCGCGAACCACGTGGTCGTCCGCATGAGTGCCGTCACAAATAACGCGCCAATAAGTGCCGCGTATATAATGATACCCCGACTCTGGTCGCTATCGCTTATATCATGGCCTTCCCTCTGGTTGAGGTCAGTCCTATATATATGGACAGGTAGGCTATATATGATAAACTTTGTAATGTCTAATATTGTAATACCAATCCGTTAGCCATAAGTCCGACGCATGAAATATACCCTGAGACACCAGTGTCGATAATATTGTCAGGGTGAACAGAATGGGACCGGCACCTGCCTTAATGTACTCCCAGTAGATTTTACCGTCAATGGCACCCACCTCTCGCTGTTCGTCCTGTATTTTAGGGTCACCCGTGTAATCATCATCGATCACCTCAGTCTAATTTATTGTATATCAATATTATAGTATTTTAAAAATTAATTAGCTGATTATCAGTATCATTTTATAATTTACATACATTTACCACTTCCATTTCGGAAAGGGCTACCGATGCTCTCCGGGATTGATTCCTAGGTCTCAATAAATTGGGTTCCGCTTTATGGCCACTACTGACCGACAGAGTGCGCTGAAGTTCCCTATTGTGTTCGGCCGCCTCTCGTTCCTGTTCACTGAGTATTTGCATAAAGTCTAGACCCTGGGCCTGGAGCTGGTCATAGGTGCCCACTCCTAGACACCGGCCATCATTGAGTACCAGTATTTGCGTGGCTTTACGTACGAATTGGATTTGATGGGTGACTAGTATTCGTATTTTGTCCGATAAGTACTCGTCTATACACCTGATAATTAGGGTTATTATAATAATTTATGTGATATATCATTATAAAGGTACCAGGATCAGTGGCGTACTTATCAAATATATGCTCGGCTACAGCGGTGTCCACAGCGCTTAACGGGTCGTCCATTAGGACGATATCTGTGTCCCTGTAAAGAGCTCTACACAAAAAGTAGAATTAAAATAAAACCTTGAAAATTTTAACATTCACTTACCTTGCCAAATTGATCCTGGCCTTTTGACCACCTGATAGTTGAACCCCTTTTTCGCCGACCAATGTTTTGTCACCAAATGGTAGTATTTTTAGATCCCTTTCCAGTGCGCACACCTCTACCACACGATTATATCTGCGCTCATCGTATTCACTGCCAAACAGTATGTTATTTCGGACGCTATTATTGAAATTCCACGGCTCTTGCGACGCATAGCTAACGGTGCCCGTGATCT